AATATGACACAAAGGGTGTTATAAAAGTTCATTAAATTTTGAAAAGTAAATAAAAAAAAAGTTAATAAACGCATTATCAGTGTCTACAAAAGGGTCCATTAAATACTAGTTAACAGCTAGTTGATAAATGCAAAAATGCTGTATAGTCAGCATGCTCCGATAACTGATATGATACTGATATATTGTGCATCCCGAGTGAAAAATTAAAGTGAAAAACTAAGGAAGCCTAGATCTTCCAGCATTAGAATAAGGCTAGTCTTAGACTAACTTTATACAAAAAAAAAAAACAGGTTTTGCAGATGCAATTCAAGATCAGCAAAGGTTTCTCTATTTTTAGTATTTCTAAACAACAGAAATATGGACCAGTGCAATCTTATACAAGTACTGGACAAATAATGAACCTGCTTTAATTGTGGAATGACAAAAGCCACTTTTTAAAAGAGACACAGAAAGAAACAGCTGATTGCCGGTGCACAACATGGCATAGCGAATAATAACACTATCATAAAATTCACGTTTTCTGAAGCAGAAAATTCTTAAGAGTATACACATGTACCAACTACTGACATGTGCACTACAATGGACAGGTTGAGGTTTTTAGTTGATGTACAAAATGAATCAATTAATGTAAAGCTGGCTGAACGAGACTTTCTCTAGAACTAATCCAATCTGATGGAGTTTGGTTCCTTGCCACTGTCGCCTTGCTTTTGGCTTGCTTTGAGCTTGCTCAGTTGGGGTTATTTAGTGTTTAGCAATGTTGTTGATCTGTGTTGTGCTACTTTCATGTTATCACTGTGAAGCTGCTTTGATACAATCTGTATTGCGAAAAGCGCTATATAAATAAATGTGACTTGACTTGACTTGACTTAATGAAAAGGTTCTTCAGTTGTCTGCATCGTGACTCATGATACTCAGAGATGATTTTTCAAACAGAGGAAAATGTATGTGGGCTCAAATTATACTGTCCCTCCTGGAGCTTCCATTGACTCATCACTGAATGCCATTTTGCTTCCTGGTGTAAGTTCAACAATACTTCAGATGGAGATGGGTGTAAAGGACAAGGACAAGGTATTTATTGTTTTTGGAGTTTAAACGCATCTCTATCCTAAATTTATCCAAAGTGACGTAGGGGTCATTCACACAGGATGCTTTCTTGTGTCCATCTGGTTTTTGAATTGTTTTCTACATCAAGAGTGCTAGACAATGCATTTGAAATGCTGTGTCAAGTCAAAAGGAACACGTCATTGTACACTGTCTATTTTTTTTTTTCTAGTAGTCCACAAAATAGCGGCTTAGTAATTATTACCAGCTAGTTTGCAACTAACTCTGTCGCACCATTCCACCATAAGGCAAAACGTAACTAATAGGCCGTAAGCTCTCAGTAAGAGAATGTGTAGTCGCATATGACATTTACCTTCAATGATCCAATAGCAGCCTTTAAATACATGAACAGAAGATACGTTTAAATGTGAGAGTTTCCATTAAATGAGGTGCTAATATTACAAGATGAGTATTACAAGTTAACATAACATAACAGATATTTTATATGTAAATAACATTGTCATCATTGTCATGACTGATTTCATTTGACAGGCAAAACGAGGACAAATGCACACAGAGGTGTGCTGTTTAGGATGCTTTAGATTCACTAAAACAGTGATTTATTCACATCATGTTCTCTCTCTTTTAAAATGTAAGCAAGTGTAAATGTCTATTGTCTTCAGTAAATATTTAGCTTGTAGCTATGTAGAGAAGTTAAGCTTTATCAAAGTTTAATGGTGCAACGCAAAAAAAAAAAAAATTAGTAGAGCACAAGTTGTTGTAACCTAGTGACCCTATGCGACAAAACTAGCAGTGTTGTAGTCGAGACCACCTCACTCGAGTCCGAGTCGAGACCGAGACCACAGAGAGTCGAGTCCGAGTCAAGACTGAGTCCATAGAGAGTCGACTCCGAGACCAGTGAGGGTTGATTACCTAATTTACTTTTATTTACTTAGAGAAATCCTTTTTTTATTTTACTGAATTTACTTAGAGTTTAAAAAATATGATCAGTTTAGGGTAAAAAGGCCACATAGTAGGTGGTGTTAAAAGTAATTTTATTACAATTTGTTATGCGCAGTTGTGCACTAGAAAATCACCAATCACTGGGCGTGTCAATCAATTGAAAGAAATATTTTATTAACATACATTAATAATCATGAAAAGTATTTTGAATTGAACACGAGTGGACTCGGGAATAAGTCCGAGTCCTAAAAAAATTTTTTCGAGTACGAGTCAATTCCGAGTCCAAATGCACACGAGTCCATGACAAGACCAAGACCATTAAAATATGGTCTCGAGACCGAGTCCGAGTCTCGAGTACTACAACACTGAAAACTAGACTAAGTTGTAACCAGCCACAGAGTCCCAGCAGCATCTTGGTTCACATTTCATTACATTTTACAAGCCTGTACTAGTGAGGTCTCTGATTCGAAAGTATAGAGCTGAAACTAATAATGAATATTTGCAGACTTTGATAGCTGCCTCTACAACTAAGGTAAGTTATATAGACAAAATGCACGTGGCAGAAACAAACAAAGTGTTGGAGAGAATAGGCTATCTGAGCTCTGGAGGTCCCATAAGCACACACACAAAAAAAGTCTAATGGTACTACCAGGTGTGCATGAATATGGGTCCTTCCATTAGGGGAAGTTGTTTTATTAAAAAAAAAAAATATATATATATATATATATATATATATATATATATTGAAACAAACAAAAAAAAATCCTTCTAATTTAAAGAATATATTATTAGACCATACATTTATTTTATTTACGTTTATTTACTCTCCCCTAAAAAACTTTTTTTAATAATGTAAATGAATGCTCATTTTCTTTCTAGTACAAAAAACTGTCATTATAACTCCAATTAAGAGCATGTTTGTTTTTCTGTTTTTCTTTTACAATTTTTACATTCTGATCTGTCATTACCAAATCAGTCAGTATTTGAGAATTTGAATTCATAAACTATAATATCAAAATTAACCATCAATCTCTAACACAAGTTGCTGTTATCATTAAAAAATAAATCAATAAAAATCCACACCATATAGCCTACCAAAATTCACTTGAAGATTGATCACCATCATAATCAAATCTTTAACCCAGTAAAAATTAATCAAATATATATTTTAAATATGTTTCACAAAGCTGTCAAAGGTGACTAACTGAAGAATCCCTCATTAAAGTAGCTACTTTGTTTGAGTGTAGGTCAGAAAACTCTTAATATTACTGATATTATATTCTAATGGTCGAGCCTGTAATCCTCTGTTTTCGCACATTACCTGTATGAATCTACACTCCATTATAGATGAAATCAGTGTACCATCCAGAACATCACCTGGAACACACGATTCAGCCTTGTCACCAGACCATTTCCATTTTTAAACGTGTGTCCTCTTCAAGTTTGTTAAGACAGCGTAGGAACATGATAATCCTTGATATACAAACAGTTCTTTTTCGTTCGTCGGGAGACAGCAATCAATTGGTCTACTTTCTGGTGTGTGCTCGGTCGCTGTTAGTTCAGAACCAGCGTTTGCTGCCTGTCCGTGTCGTGCATTTCACGTGGAGCTCATATCGTGACAGTCTACTTAAGTTCAGGTGCTACGGGTGTTACATCCAGACTGGGATTCCCTTCAGGCAGCTCTCTCTCTCTCTCTCTCTCTCTCTCTCGCTCTCTCTCTCTCTCTCATCAGAGAACTGACAGCCACCTGAGTTTCAGCACTGTCGCACTCTATAACCATCTACATTATCTTTATTCTAGGAGAGGAAACAAATAAACGAACTTACCCAAACAAAACCAAATCCTCCGGTGACAGCGCGATCATTTACGGAGGAATAAAATAGCGAAGTTTTGGCGTAGTTAATATCGCGGCTGGGCGACCTCAGCGGTTCCAGCGCTGCTGACGTAGGATGATGATAAAACGGTAATTTGCATACGTGTTAAGTTCTCTGTGATTGGTTAGCGTTGAATTCATTTCTTTTGAATAACTGGGACGCCTGTTTGAATCTTTGGGTTGAGTTTTAGCAAAGGTCAATAATCATGTCCTTAAAACGTTACTCGTAATCTGTAACATCATTGTACAGTAGCAAAACATGAAGTTTGAGAGTTGAAACAACAAGATGGCCGTGCCGGGAAATCAGCCAATCAGAGATGGTTTTACATCGGTTGTGAATCAGCCTATGGTTGTAGAAGCAGTGGGAGGAGAGAAGCGGAGAAAAGTTGGTGTCGGTCCCTCTGATATTTGATCACCTCTGGTGGATCTTTTGGGAACTGTTTCTTGTAAACACTGACAAATACAGCAGAAACTGGAGCATGTCAAATGTAAAGGAATATAATCAAAATGACTATTTTTTACACTGCTTCACTTTATCACAGCATGATTTTAAAGGTACCAGTTTGCTTTTCACATCAAAATCTTTTCTTAGGACAACTAGTCAACATTTGAATTGGACACACACACACAGACGGGCTGTGCAAAGATTAATTGTGATTAATTGCATCCAAAGAATTAAAAAATAAAAGATTGTGTTTACATAATATAATTGTGTGATGTGTATTATTATTTTGTATATATAAATACACACACACACATGCACGTATATATTTAAGAAAATGTGTTAATATATAAAATATGTATATTTTTATATATATAATATTGATTGTGTTTATATATACATATACACAGTATTTACATGCAAACAACTCTTAAATATATGCATGCATGCATGCAAATGTATTTATGTATACAAAATAATTGTTGACAGCACACACACATATATTATGTAAACAAACTTTGATTTTGGATGCGATTAATTGCATTTTATCTTTGCCACAGCCCTCAAATATACGTACACACACAATCTTAAAAGCAGTATTTTGCAAATCCACTTGTAAAGCAGTTATCTACACAAAATGCCACTAAAACAGCACATTCCGACTAAATACAATCAGACCAGTTTCATTTTTTATGCATTTATTGGCTTTTAACAGATAAAAAACAAAACAAAAACAAAAGTACATTACTTACACAGCTGAGCTAACATCAGTATTCTTACTGAAACTGCCCAAAGTAGACAAAAAGAAAAGCATTGTTAAAAAAAAGAAAAAAAAAAAATCTAAAAAATGTCAACCATCGTAAATTTCTAGATAAATAGGACTCTGTTATAGAGGCCATTCATTTAATTGAACTGCTCCACTATTTACACATCAAACCCATTTAGATCAAACCATTAGGACACAATAAAAGTGAATTACTAAAAAATAAGGATTAACTTAGTCTTATTGAATAGTATTTGCCTTGCTCTGTATTTTACATTAAAACCATTTCATACACAGGATATTACAAACCAAAAAAAAAAAAAAAAAAACAACCCAAATAATACATCGAGACACAAAAAAAGAGAGAGAGAAGCATTTTGTCCCAGCCTGCTAATGAACGTCTCACATTAAGACTATTAATCATGTTTGTGGAGAAAGGAAAACCAAAGGAAACTATCAAATCTATCAAATTATATGTTAGAAAACCAAGTTCATCATTTAGAAGATCATGACCAACACAAATAAGTGAGGTGGTTTGTTGTGCCTGAAAACATGTGCAAGTAACATTATTCACTAGAACCATCTCGGTGCCATCTGTGCGTTCAAGCCTCAGCATTGAAATGAACGAGTGGGGTCTTTAGTTCTATACTGGGAACGTGTCTATAGTTCTGAAGCCATTAAAGCAGTTTAAAATGATTTTCTTTTAAAGCTGAGCAAGGGTTTTGCAAATGAAGATGAAGTTCATAGAACTGCATCAGAATTCTATACATGTGGTTCAGCGCAGCCACAGTAGCATAGCGCCCCTCCTGGTGGACAGACACAAGCACTGAATGTTCACGTCTGAAGGGGGTTGTCTTCTTTGCTGAAAGGCTGAGTGGAACCAGGCTTCACCCAAGACAGCCCAGACACTGGCAATCCTTTGTTATAATCATCTGGTCGCCGCTATAACAGAAGAAGGCCATTGGTCACAAAGAGGATTATGAAATTAATATTTTCACAATAATTCACATTTGAACCAACCCACAAGAAAAAGACACCAGGATATAAGAGCGGAAATAGTGTTCCACACACAAGCTACTGACTTAAAATGAGGCATGCATCAGATACTAGGAAGAAGCCAGCTTTTACTTGGTTGTGAAGAGCAGTCAGGGGAGCGTCACACACTCACTTTATGTGCAAACATTTTCTCTTTTGCCTCTTCATGCACTGCTGGATTCCATGGAGAGAAGCTGCAAAGAGAAAACGCAAATATTAGAAAGAGAAAAACAAATGAGATGAGGTCCAGTCTGATGACTCAATGCTAAACCCCACAAATTCTTGGTTTCATTTTCACGAATGACAGCAAGGCTGCACTTACACTCAAAGGCTTAATCAATAGATCTTTTGACCAGATTTTTTTTTTTTTTTTTGGTCTAGCCCTTTTTACACTAACTTAAGACATGACTCGTATCGGATATCTGCTTTTACATGAATCCCTATCAAACATTTTTACAGTAGAAACTGCTTAAAATACTCCATTGACCATTTTTGGTCATACAGTCAAAAATAATACATTTACTTAATAAAGTCTACTTTTATTTGTATACACTCACAATAAAAAAAAAAAAAAATTATAATAATACAGGAACGATGGCTGCTTAATAGAACAAAGAACAGCCTCACTTTGTCCCTCACCCTGTGGTAGATTGGAGTTCCACTTTAGACATGGGTCAGATGTCCAGATATTAGATATGTATCCGAAACCACATTTGATAGAGGCTCTAAACGAATGTGAAATATCTTGTGCAGATTTTTTTTGTTTACATGTGTGCAACAATATCAAATGTGTCAGATACTAAAAAAATACACTTGTGCTAGTGTAAATATAGCCCAAGAGATCATAATTATGAAGGAAAACTCCACAACATAACATCTGAGTGTTGTACTTGCCTTATTGCATAAGGGTCATCAATCTTGGGCTGATCGAACAGGTGACTATTGCATAGCTTGACACTGTCTACCACCTTGCTTTTGTAGAGCTGGATGTCTTTTTCATACCTGCACAGACAGCATTGATATTAGTAAGTAAAAGCAGTCAAAGGTACAGGACTTCAAAACAATCTTATAACTACTTGGAGGCACAGCTAAGAGCAAATGAATGCAGGGAAAAAAAAAAAAAAAAAAAAAAAAAAAAAAAAGAACTAAACAAGCTTTTATCTTGAAGTGTGAAGCCAAGTCTGAGGTTGGACTAAGCTTGAAAGCAGCATGCATCTTCAGATGCACAGGAAGTCAAAATAAGCTCAGACTAACGTAGGCAATGCCCAAAAACAAAAGAAAGCAAGATTGTGGTTATTTTCTTTATGTAAAGCAGAAGTAAATTCAGTGTTAGTGCTCGGAAGAGTTCAAACTGGGTTGACTACAAAAATGATACAGAATCCAACACTCACAGCACAGCAGCCTCTGGGTTGAGCGGATCCATAGTGTTGATCTTATAGAAGATTGTGCGGGCGTACATAAGAACCTGCCAGATATGGTTGTGGTTTCGTCTGCAAAATCAGAGAAATATAAATAAATAAAATCCTTTCCACAGTAAAAAAAAAAGCCAAAATAACCTTGAGCCCCTTTAAATTATGGCAACTTCATGAAGGCAAAAATGATAAATGTCTAGATAAATATTATTTTCACCCACTACCAAACACCTGACTTAAATAATATTTAATTAGTTTAGTTAGTTATTTTTTCTTGTCATTACTTATTTTGTCTATAATGCTTTTAAAAATATATGTAGACAAAATCATGCCAACAAAGTACTTTAAATGATTGAAAATGACAGCAGGGCTTTATTTCCTTTTAAACAGACCTCCATTTGGTGAAAGCTCTTCTCACATCCAGCTCGCCAGAGACGGGGTCCACTAGTGGGTGGAAAACTGGGGTGTCGAAAACAACCCTCTGAAAGAATATGCATAAATGCAACAGAAAAGAAAATTATTTTAGCTCTTCTGATGACTGCAAAAGACAAATAGATATGGACATAGTGAAAACTATGGTTTCGGAACCCCGTGGATTATTTTTTCCAGACATTCATGATTAATGAATAAGCTTATCTATATTCTGTTATATCCAATAGACTCTCCATGACTTAAGTATTTATTAATTTCTTTTGATTTTTCAAACCTAGAATAAGAAACTCATTGAGCAAGTAATTAAAACATAAATAAAATAAACACACCTCTGCTGACTTGATAAAGTTGGGCAGGGCTAAAAGGGGCTAGGGGACACAACAACATCAACTCTAGTGGATCCTCAAACTGTCTGGAAAACCCCGCACAGTAGCTCCACCCGGTTCAATCGTGAATTAAGTGCAGCACACATTTTGTTCTTTAATAAGTACAGCATTATTTTTCCTCAAAAAACACAATGCTTGTCAAGGCTAATGTTTTATGTATTTGAGGAGCAGAGAAGAGGGTCTTAGTCTGGTATTTGTCATCTAGTCAAATCCAATTCAGCCTGTGAGCGTGCATCGCACTTCATCTTTTATAACACAACATTTTGGCTAAGTGTATTAACGACAGGAAGAACTGAGTGCCCACATAGCTACAATAAACTTTGTAACCTGCAAGTTGATAAATGTAATGCGACAACACTCCCTCAACAAAACAAATCTCCAAAATTCACTGAAAAATATTAATAATATAACATGCAAGTTTCTGACCATACATATTTCCTGAATCTGTAGCGGTTCTACACTAACCTGCCATTTTTGCTGGTTTAAAACACGCTGGATATTACCTGCCATAATCATTTTCAAAAGTCCTGGATCCAAAAGTAAATGCTAGCACATTGTTACTGCGACTTGCCTTAGATGACTTGACGGGTATTTCACTCACATTGGATGCATCAACATTAAATTTGCATAGGCCGTACTATTTGAATTCAAGATTGGTTGACTGCCAAATTAAAATATTATACAGAACAATAAAATAACTTTTAATTATTTTAAGAGTTAAACTTGATTTTGTTTTTGTTTGTTCCTGTAAAAATTGTGTTTGTTTCTTGTTTTTGTTTCTTGAACCGGTTCAGAGCCCAGCCAGCTAGTAATGTTCTGTTCCAAGACACACCCTGATGTCATCAGTTTCAGAATTAAGATTGAAGCATTTCAACATTCCATTTGGCATTAAAACTACGAATAAAGACGACAGCAAGGTCTGACTTTACTATGGTTAGCTTTGGCAATAGATTCATCTAATCTATCAATTTGGTGTCTTTCTAGAAACAAAATTGTATAGAAAAGTTGTTTATTACCACTGTTTTTTATGATGTTTTTTTAACAATCCTATACATGACAAACATAACAGTGCAAATGTTGTAAATTGTAACCAGCTGATGGAAAACAAGCTAATGTAAACAATTTGGATAAGGTAATTAGAATTATTTACAGAGCAGATGAAATGCCTAAAATCATTTATCATTAACTATTTGATCTTCTCTTTTCTTAAAAAAAATGGTTTAAAGGATGAAATGAGGTTTAACATTTTATGAAACTTTTTGTCAAAACTTTATTTAAACATGTAGTACATGTTGGTATATAGCATGTTATGATACAAGTCGTAAAATTCATAAACTTGAAACCTGTCTGTCATTGGTAATGTTATTATTTATTTTTTTTTTTTTTTTTTTTTAAAGTGCATAGCGCTGCTAATTTTATTTGTTGAGTCAATTTCGTATAAACTTGTATCAGTACTTTAAACATTCTCAGCACATAATATTGAAAAGGGTGATCATTTCGATCACTGCAACCATGATATGTAATTTTCATACTGTTTCATCTCTACATGACAGCAAGTCATGGACTGAATGAACAAGTAGCAGTGCCCTGGTCATGTTGTGTCAAAAAATTCAGTGGAAAGATGTGTAAAGTACTTACAGGACAGTCTCCATCTGGGTAGTTATCTGGAATGTAGACAGTGAACTTAAAAACACCATCTTGGTACAAGCCATGTCGAATGAAAATCACACCAAACCACACTGCAACAAAAAATAGACATTAATGTATACTTGACAGAGCAAATCAGCAATACAGCAATCAATTTAACTCTTCAGCTGAGTTATTGGACATTAATAATTACACAAATTATCAATTTGATACAAAAACTGCAATACTAATTAACGCCGCCTTCCATTCAAAAACAAATCTCCACCATTTGTTTTCCATGTGTGAGAACATATTGAATTTTATTTCCTTGAATCTGTGCATTTATCATTTATCATGCTAGCATATCCACGTGACAATCCATCCTCATCCTGACATAGTTGTAGAATTCCACACAAGGTTCCAAGTAGAAGTTAATTGACTGCACATTCTACTGCAACTTTTCCAGACAGGAAGTTGGAAATTCTTTTGGAGTTGAATGGAATGCAGCAAAAGGACATTTTGCGTGAGGGTGGAGGAAGACATTCTTACTCAGTGCTGATCTGTATGAAGGCTGTACATAGATACCAGGGAGCTTCTGCTTGATCACCAATGTGCTGCAACAGAGACATGGTCACAATTGTCCATTTCAACAATACACTGAAAAATCAAAGTACTGCATATCCTAAAGATGGTGCTACACAACTTCAGGGAAAATAAGTCAGGGAATAACAAATGTGAATAACAGGCGTGATGCATATGCTTAGATGGTTAGGTTACATAAACATAAAATCCTATTGTATTTTGGGTATGTTTTAATCACAGCTTCATAAATTAACACTACAACTAGAAAATAAATCAAGTTACTTGATCAACTATTACTGCCCAAAACCTAGTGGGAAAAGCCTGTAGATCTGATATTCTGTACAACTGGAATTAGAAAAAAAGTGTGCACATCCAGCAGTCAAAAACCTCAACGATGGTTTCATAAACATAATAATAAATGTAAAATATTTTTACAAAAAAAAAAACACTTTTGCATTTTTAATATTTTCAAATTAAATTGATTCTTATACTGGCAAAGCTGAATTTTCAGCATCATTACTCCAGTCGTCACATGATCCTTCAGAAATCATTCTGAAATATGATGATTTGGTGCTCAAGTAACATTTATTATTATTATGAAAGTTGAAAACCCTTGTGTAGGGCTGCTTTATTTTTTTTAAGGATCATGTGGAAGGATCAAGACTGGAGTAAATGATGCTGGAAATTCAGCTTTGTCATCATAGAAACAAATTACATTTTTAAATTTATTAATTTAAATATTATTACAAAGTAAAATATTTGTTTTCTCAGCATTACTGTTTTTACTGTATTTTTAATTAAATAAATGAATCCTTGATGAGCATAAGAGACTCCTTTCCAAAATATAAAAAAAAAACTTGACAGATAATAATAATTAACCAAAAAAAAAAACATATTTTCTATAGTACCTTTCAAGAACCCAAGGTCACTTCAAAATGTAATACAAATAGCAAACAAAAACAAAAGCCATCTACTAATGAGAGACAAAACAGATGGAAACAAGCATATACTTATTGGCATGAATCAAAGAAAGACATATTGTATGATTTAGAAAAATATACAATCGTGACAAAGTATGTAGCACATAGAGCAGAGGAAGTGAAGACCAGAGAAAACAGTGGTGAGGATAATTATTTATTGGGGAAGCTTGTAAAAAATGAGTTTTAAAACTACTGTAAGTCTGTCCAATGAAGGTCACTTTTGGTGAGAACAAGCTATAAATTATTTTTCTATGGAGCTGTGGTGTGCCAACTTCCTCATATGCAATCATCTATGAAAGCCAATGAATAAGAGCGGAGAATCACTCACAACTCAGCAAGCAGCGAGTACTCCAGGTAGAAAGGGCCGTACGAGGCGTGGGTGCCATTGGCAGATTGTGTTGAGGCTGGAGATGCAGCTTTAGTGATGGGGATGGCATTCTTCGGGATGGAGGGAAGCTGTTTCTTACCAAACGAAGGACGAGCTGGACTGGCTCTCTGCTCCCCTGGACCACCCTGCTCTTCGGCGTCAGATCTCTGCACACACATGCACCAACAAATTAAGCTTATAGTGTTTAACTTTTTACTTTTGTTTGCAAATGATGATGTTTTAAATATTTGGAATTCCCAGGGCCAAATTTCTCTAGTACTCAACCTGTCTAATAACATTACTGTTCTAGACTATTTCTTCGGAAAAAAAAATACATTTTCATTGCAGTAAATGTTCCAGTTAATGAAACAAGCAGTCAAACTTTTTAACTATAAAACAGTTACAGTTAGAATCAGAGAATGAGTTAAAAAAAAATGTATATATATATATTTTTTTAATTTAAGTGAAATGTGATCTTGATAAGTCAAGTCATGCTAATCCATATCACAGAACTCAGAATTGGAGAAACCTTTGAAAGTTTGTGTCTTTTTTTCTTCTTAATTTTTCCTTTTTTTCTTAATGATTACGCGTTAATCTACCAATAAGCACGATCTAGCACTATTAGACTCGCCTAATACATTTTACCTTATTTGAATCCATTATGCAGAATTTCTCTTAGCACAGAGAGAAAAAAACCCCTCCAGACTCCATCTGGGCCTCACTATAATTCAAGAGATGAAAGTAAATATCAGACACCAAAAATTCACAAGCAGTAGGGGCTAAATGGAAACAATAACTAACAGCAAACAGATTCAGCACATAGCCTCTAATAAAGCCAATGAAAACAAATTACAGCTGAATAATCATAGAATACAGTCAGACACCTCTCAAAGAAATTACAAACAGCTAGTCTAAGTGTCTACCATAAAACAATGAGACAAAGCAATGGGGTCAAGAGTCGGCATGTAGTAAGAAACGTCTTTCTGACAGCTGCGATGCCACACCACACCAAAGTCAGAAAGACAACACCTCTGGAGATTGCAACGAACAAACTGTTAGCCTACTTCTTTTTTAAGTTAAAAGCATTAATTGACTGCAATTCTCAGACTTCAACAAGAGTTTAAAACAACCATAACTTCAAAACTAATCAATGTTATATTAGGAGAATAAGCCACTAGCCTAAAACACCCTCTTCCACCACAAAAGCTTGTGACTTTAGAGTGACTGAACTGTGCAAAATCACCTTTAAACCCTGAGCCTCCAACGTGACTTCCTTATTGAAGAAATCACCTGTTGTAAACCAGTCCATTCCTCTTAGTTTGCGCATTTAGACTTCAGGTAAAGGACATTGGGATATGCAGCATAACAATTTCAGACTTTACCTTAAGATTTATGTGTGTTTGTGTGTGTGTGTGTGTGTGTGTCATATATATGGGCTATATCCGGCCTGTACCCTGTCTGTCGTGTTGTGACCTATATATGTTGTGACCTAGAGGTCACAACACGGCAGACAGAGTACAGGCCGGATTCAGGCCTCAGATTTAACAGCACTGATGAGTCAGGCAGGATCAAGTCAAATGTTGTCAGGTACAGGCCCTGTTCTGGCTTAACTTTAAAGCCTGTTCAGACATTTAGGACTGCCATACTTTACCTTACGACCAGCGTTTGTCGACATGCTCCAGAATGGGTTCATTACTCATTGAGCTCTTGATGGGTGTATACTTGTCCACTTTTTGGTGGCATCCGAAGAATTTGCTGTGAGAGAAAGAGAGAAAGAGAGAGAGAGAGAGAGAGAGAGAGAGAGAGAGAGAGAGAGAGAGAGAGAGAGAGAGAGAGAGAGAGAGAGAGAGAGAGAGAGAGAGAGAGAGAGAGAGAAAGTGCTGATGAGAGCCTGGATATTCGAACACCACAATGGGCAACCTGATGCTGTATGGCAGCTGGTGGCAATCCAATCCCCAATAACCATGCTGTTGCTAGTGAGAACTTCAGTGAGCTACAGTATAATGCGGGGGGTTTCAATCATTTATATGACATGGTGGACCCCCAAATATGATCATCCTAATGCAAGGGATATGTTTGTATGTATAAAGACCCAATTTATACTGTGAACAATTAATATTAGAAGTGTGTGTAAAACATTATTTAGAAAATTACACTTCTCATTTTTATACTCCCTGTCGTATTTTAAGACTTTAAGTAAAAATGTATTAATAAGATTAAATAAATAAAAACTAGAACCAGATCTAGCAGGGTCTTAAGAGACAAACATTTACCTAAACTAATAATTCATATAAAATTATGACCAAGGTGAGTGAATTTTCAGTAGTAACATGACAGATGTCAACGCCTGGCACACAAGAAGAACCGCCTCAACTAGAAACAAGAGCTCTGACTCCCCATAAGACAATTGCCTTCATGTTTACCTGACACCCACTGCAGACGGCTTTGTTTCATAACGTGTACACTTTAGCGTTTAATAAAGTGTTCTCTAGGCGAGAACACAGTTTTTAAAGCAGGGTTTCAGGTAACGTTAATGACACGGACGGTATTTTGTAACTGGACTAGACTAGCCTTCATTTAGCAAAATCTCCGAAACAAACGGGCTTCCACTTACCTGCGACAAATACTGTCACCTGGTTAAAGACATGTCACACAGTAACTTGTCCAGATGTGAAATAGTTTGAGACTGCTTTTTAATGCCGCACCGTTAACCAAATCGCCGACGACACTGTTATCCGAATAATCTCAGACAAATACTGAACACACCTCTAGCTAACTTGACAGGAAAAGGCGGGACATAAACACAACTGAGGGCGGTGATTGGATTTCATTGTGATTGACAAGCTCTTTACCCGATCAAACATTAAATACACCAATCCACAAGGTTAAATGTCTCCAGTTTAACGTTTAAGCAGCAAATACTTGGTACATATTTTAGATCATTTAAAATCGTCTGGAAATGGCATCTGCCGCAGAGTGTGGGTAAGTTGTTGACAAGAAAAATCAGCTGACAAAATACCTCCTGTGTTGTTACCTCGAGTTGTGAGCTGAGCGCATGAACGAACGCGATTTGTAAATGTTATACAGTATATAACGTTACATGGCGTATCTCTGCTAAACGATCATAAACATTTCTACATTATAATGGACTTTGTGAAACTTACCGTGCTTAAACTCAGGACATTTCACACGTTTTTAAAACACGTAGTATCTACCCTCCCAGTTGACTGCACTGAATGGATTCGCGTTCTGTCATTGGCTTATAGAGACTCACGGTAGATTTTATTGGTGCTTTTCCCTGTATATCAGATCAGACCAAGGTAGTAAATTCGGATTGGTCCCTTTAATCTTGGTTTTTAAAACAGGTTATTGGGTAGCTTTATTAATACATAATAAGAGGTCAATTAATTACGAGCCTCAGTGCACCTTTTAAAGTTAACCATTACTTTAATTTAATACTATAATAATGGGATGTCTGATAGTTTTATTCATATTAGTTTTATAAAACAATACTTCAATTATTCCTGAGCTTTTACGCGTCTTTTGCAGGTGAAATATCAGTTATCTTACAAAAAAGAAGAAAGTTTCCACTTCCAGAGTTTTAGAATAAAGCAAAGAAGGAAATAGGCTATACTGTTATAATGTTCAAATTGGCATTGGCAAGAGATGTGGATGGTTTTGCAATGCCCCCTTTAGGACAACAGAGGGAGTCAAATACTCAGAATTAGAGAAAAATCAACAATCTCCCCAAATAACTGCCTAATTCAATCCTCTCTAAATAGGCACATAGGCGTTTACTTTGAAAAGTAGTCGTGTCCTTTTGGCAAGACTGTCATTGATGCTGTCATTACATGGTCACAATTTTTTTACAGACAATTTCATGGTGGCCTACGGCAGTAACTTATGAGTTTTCCTGCTTACTTCTGGAGTAATTGCACTGTAAAATTTGGCACCTGCTTGATTGATTGATTGATTTCTTGAGGGATATGCCTAATAATAATTTATGAGGAACACAGAGGAAAAAAGAAAAAAGTAATTTACTGCATCACCGATTTACCTAATTGAGGGAAATGACATTGTCCAGGACTGAAAGTGGAAGTTAATTATTGACTTAATTATTGTTTAATTATCTGATTTCATTTTGTTTTTCAACACAGTCTGTTAATATAAGTAATTGGCCAGTGGTTTCTTGATGTAGCCAGCCCAGTAAACAAAGCAAGGTCACTGACTCACTGACAGGATGATTTTGACTGGATCCCAGTGGCACTTCTAAAATGTAAATGCTGGACATGAAAAGGGTGATTTCACTCAGTCTCAAATGCTAATACCCTCTGGCCTACCTGACCTGGAAGTGTTAATAATGTTAACAGCATAGAAAATGACAAAATTTGGTGCAATCTGATTTCAGACTGATCTTTTTAACGAGAGCCTGACACTGAGTAAAATCAAGTAAACACTGCATTTTTAATATATTCTGCTATGAAATAGTAAGACATCTGCTATTAAAATAATGGATTTCTAACAGGCTTTGGCTGAGCCTTGCACAAAGTTTTGCTTCCTGAGACGAAAAAAGCGAATCTAATGAGTGGTTTTGTTATTGTTTTGTCCCTTTTTTGTTATGGTATTGATTAATGTATCAAACTTCCTACAAAACAGACACTCGGTAGGCCTATTGTGTTGAAGCTGCAGATGAAAAATATCCAGTGCTCATCCTCTCCATCACTCTGTGTCTCCTCTGAGACACCAAAGGCCTGCTTATTCTGATCTGCAATTTGGTTTAAATGACAGTTAAAAATTGCAATTGGCAGCCCCCCAGTGAAATATGCCACGACAGCAAAAGCCATAAAGCAGCCAGAACGAATGACTTCACGTCTAGATAATAAGTAATAACAATGTTAGTTTGAATAAAAAAGCCAGAGCTGGATTCAGATGCAATATTCATTGGAATATGCACAACTGGGGAAAGGAAAGAGGAGGGGAAAAAACATCAACCGAGTCCCACACACAGCAATAGTCTTGTCTTATCCCTTAGGCTATGGCCCGGCTAGCACCTCAATGCAGCAATTATTTGCTATAATGACTGCAGTTCAAATAAGCCTGGAGATTTTATTAAACCAAATGAGGAAATCTTCAGTGTATTATCACCTTGTGATTGACAGTGACAAGTGTTGGGCCAGCTCAGATGTGAGTGTGATGAAGAAGCTCTCGGCAAAGCTCTCAATAATGTTCTCCCTGATAAAGTTGCCTATTGAACTCCAGCGAGAATAGAGAGCAGCAGAACTGCACGCATATTAATTCTCATTGTCAAGAGGTGGTTAAGGGAGCAAGGGCAGACAGAGAAGCGAATAATCTGGCAGGGCTGGAAGTCCCTCACACTGCCTGGCTGGCATTTTACTGCACTAATGAAAAGGAGATCTATTGTGCCCGATCATGTGCATAGATTGTACTATATGATAGTAATAATGAAAGAGAAATATTCATATTAAAAGCAAAGGTCATTCACAGAGTAGACTAAGCTTTCCTAAGCTGCAACCTTTACAGGAACAGACAACCTGTGATGCAGATGAAGAGGAAAGAGAAGGGAGAGGAAAAGAAAAAGAAAGAGAGAGACAGAGAGAGAGAGAGAGAGAGAGATTGTTGTGTCTTAGTATGGACAAAGGGAGGAGACAATGTACTCTTCTTCAGCTGTGGTCAAACACAACCAAAACCTCCTTTATTTTGAGATAATGACCATTATTCCACCTTACACGTTTGAGTTTAAATTATGTTAATGTTATACTCACTATACATGCATGGCATCAGTTGCTTTTGAATGACATGAGAGAGAGCGAATCTACAATGTGATAATAGAAATGGGAAAGTAGCATGAGTCACCATGCAATCATGGTGAGTCACCATGCTTATTCGAAATTCTTCTTTTTGTATGCCATGGGTTGCAGTATTTATTGTAAATGATTTGTTCAAGGCACTTTATTTTATATATTGCAAAGCCAGATTGCGCTTTATGGCTGCAGCACCTGTGAGTAAAGTCAGACAAGACTTCAAAAAAAATAAAAAAAATAAAATCTTGGTCTGGGTTTGGGTACGGTTCCCAAAACGCACTTGCTGAACTCCTTCGCGATGCCTGGTAGTGGCGCTGGATACCCCTCGGTGGATGGCCCTCTGACTCTTCTGCCCCCTGTTGGACGGTGACGCTTCCTCCGGCTTCGGGCACCCAGCTGGAGTCCCCCTTACCCTGCTCCTCCCCATTATGGCAGACTGCAGCTGGCTCAGGCCTCAGGACAACTGTGGCGACTCCTCCGTCCCCTCTCGGATGGCAGCAGCCCTCCCATAACCCAGGGGGGCAGCAGCTAGTTGTCCATCCCCCTGAAAGTCACTCCAGCGCACCACCTTAGCTTCCATGGTGGCAGACTCTGCTTGATGGCACTGCAGATTTCCTATAATGACGGGGGCTCTTTGGCTGCTTTTACACTTGGCATTATCATGCAACCAATACGGATATTTTCCAAATTCACATTGAAAAGCCAAGTGTTACACTCTTCTGATCAATATGTTATTCGATCAACGTCAGGTTCAGAGGTAGTCGAGGACGCATTGTGATCGGATCTCTGTGTAATGTAAGCGAAATCCAGTCATCGTGTCTGCATTCACAGGTGGACGTCACACAAAACCCTGCCCACTGTCATTATTCCCCCTCCTCTCTCCAGGAATTGCTGCACGTAGCTGTGTGGTTTTGCGATACAGTCGAGTGCAAATTACTGAAATGTTTGCCTTTGCACCCGAAAGTTACTGAACCATAAATTTTCTTTAAAGAACGCGCATTTTTCCCACCACAGCAGGCAAAGTTCTCGGACCCATACGTTTCTCTATACCGTTTCCATTACGGCATCTATCCACATTATTAGTACTTGCAGCCTCTTCATTCTCCTCATTTTGCAAGATTTGTAAAATGTCCCCCAACTGAAAATGTTTTTTTTTAAAAGACTTTGCACCGGAGCCATCCTTTTTTTTTCTTCCTTTCTTTTTTTTTTTCGTGGCAATACGAGATCTGATCTGTTATCCAGATACAGAAGCCACTTGATGTGGACAGGTCGGATCACGGTAATCACATGTTTGTGCCAAGTGTAAACGCAGCCTTTGACAACGCGTTCTTTCCCCTTGGGTTTTCGGCACAAATGTAACAAAGTTCGTTCATAAGGGACGGAGGAGGCAGGAACCAGCAAATGTCAAACATAACTTTTAATGACAAAATAAACAAACAACAAAGCGAAAGTAAATCGGCAGCCACTAATGGACGTCTTACGCATAAACTAAAACAAAAAAACAACAACATAAAATTCAGGCCTGGTCCTCTCTCATCCTTCACTGTCATCACTTTATACTTGTGACGGCCCGCGTATTGGCCGCACAAGTGTGGTAATGTTGATGTATCATCTCACACACACACACACACACACACACACAGACACACACATTTAGACGGTCATTCATTTAAGAATAATCTTTATTTAAATAATCTTTTTTTTTTGTCATTTACATTTGTGTCAGTATAAACAATATTCATTCATTCTTTACTGTTACACCATGTCCTAACTACACTGATAAAAGGTATCTTTTCCATGTTAATCAGAGTTTTTGTCCTAACCAGACGCGATGGCAACACGCAGAGTTTCTAATTTAGAAACGGTTCATATTTCTGTGACGTCGCGGCTGACAGATCGGGATGGATATTAATTTCCCTAAGAACAAGATCGAATAAACTGATTGTCATTAT